CAAATCGCTGTGAAGTGAATCATTTTAAGTCGTGGACATTCATGTGATGGATTCACTTTCAATGCAACTTTCACTGTTTTTAAACGTTTTGTTGAATTTGATGCATATTATTTCAAAACCAACTCAGACCAGGTTCTGTTCAAAGGCTCCTTCCAAACGTACAATATGTTTTTGACTAAAACAACATTAATAACAAAGTCATCTTGTGACACGTTGTTAAAATGGCTGATGCTGCTGTTTTTCTGAGCACGCCGTCTTCTCGTTTTTTTGTGTAGAGAAAGTTGTGTTAGGCGCTCCTCACTTCTTGTCCTCTCTTCCTCCTTCGACCCGCGCTGCACCAACCCGGAGCTTAACCCGTCTGACCTCCCTCCCGCTGCCTCTGGCCCCCGGGCCGAGTCCACGTGGACTAATAGAGACGTTGAGCGGAGAAGACAGAGGGGGGAGAGCTAAAAGTCTCTCCGAAAGAAAGAAGCAGATTAAATATAGCCACTGATTAAGGCGGAGACGGGAACATGACCTACATGCATAACAACATTTTCTCTCACTTTCTGCAGAACAAGCCTCCGTCCAGGACCAGGACTCTACAACTGGGAGAATCACTCTAATTATAACGCCAGAGTCAGATTTCAATGCGCACCTCATTAATATCTTCACACAATGTTGGGTTCTATGGTTTTTGGAGCGTTCCAGTGCACCTGTCATGCAGGTAAAATGCAGCTGAGCTTGTCTTGTGAATCAGAGTAAAAAACAAAAGATAACTCCGTTTCACACACGTAGCCTTGTCCTCAAAATAGCTGTTCCTCTGGTGGGGGGGGGGTTAAAGAGGGAGAACAAGAAAGACAGGGGAGGAGAGAGAGGGCTTTCTCCTTCCTCATCAGTCGCTCGGATCCAATGACCGCGTATCCGGCCGCCTCCGACCGCGCCGAACACCGGCAGGCAGCCGCAGGGAGCTGAGATTCAATCTGGATTCATTTATCGGACACCTGGGGTTGATTTAACACCGCTGTTACTAGACAGTAAAAAAAGGCTGATTATATAGCCAGTGATATATATATATATATATATATATATATATATATATAAATGTATATATATATATATATATATATATATATATATATATATATGTGTGTGTGTGTGTGTGTGTGTGTGTGTGTGTGTGTGTGTGTCTATACACATACATAAACTGTCAGCTAAAATTTCCACAGTGTTGAAGTGTGTGTTTGTATGTTTAATTCCCTACCGGGATTAAAAAAAAGAAAAGAAAAACTGTTTTCAGGCCGATGAGCTTCGGACCGAGAGTTCTTAATGTGTCTGCATGTTTTGTGTGTCTGCGTGGGGTCAGTGTTTTGTAACGGCCTTGTTGAGAAGTTGTGCAGCCTGTCAGCCTGTTTCCTCTTGTTCTGCTACTCTGCTACATCTAAACGTCTGGTGTGGAGATGCATTTTGTATAACCGGCCTCAATCAAAAACTGTACTTGCATTTTCATTGTGCGCTTTGCAATAAAAGCCAACGCGTTTCACCAGCTGGATGCAGACTGTATGCAGTTTCTGTTCAAATGAATGGAGTCAGCCGTGGCGACTTTCAGTTAACGTATCTGGACCTTTGCTGCATCAATTTTGAAAACTCCTTTAAAATGTGTCTGTCAGAAGCCGAAACTTTCTAAAAGTGTACTAAATGCTACCCTTTAAAAATGTTGGTCAGCCCAAAATGTATTCCAGTATATTTTATACACCTGTAATATGGAAAAAACGATTGTTTGCGTACTCTTGCGGTGTGTGTGTGTGTGTGTGTGTGTGGCATTTCTCATGTGCATTGACAGATGGTTTATTGGTGACCTCATCATCTGAGCATATGTCCCTCCAGCGAGCGAAGGAGGGAAAAGGAGAAGCTGCCTACTTTTCCCGTGCAGATGTACCACGTCAGGTACAGGTAAGCCCCTCGTACGGCATTATTTCAGAGGAGGGGGCACACACTGTACTAGGCAATATAATTCACTTTCACCTGGCTGTGTTTGTGTAGGTTGGAGTTCTACATATCAAAGACAGCACACGTTTGTTTTTCTCTTTTACGTATTTATTCTAACTTTGTGGGGAAGGTTGGAGGCGGGAGGGGGGGGCGGCGGGGGTATATTTGATGTTTTGATCAAAGGAGCTAACAGTCCTTAGTGCTGCAAACTGCTGGATACCGTACTCGGATTGTCAGCAGAGAAAACAAAGCCCTGAACCACATGATAGAAAATGATTTTGATGATTATATTTTAAAGTGTCGAGTTATAATTTTCACGTTTATTATGTGCCGCATAAAATCCAAATATGTTGTGACACATCTGTATGCACCTTATGAAATACCTCAGATGCCCGACAAAATTGTATTTTCAAATATTGTATATGCGCTCCTCTTTCAAACCTAATGAGACCCCATTTCTATGAGTCCCACCTCGCCGCTTCCATTGAAGGTCGATCTGTGTGGCTTTATGGAGGAATACACGTTGAATTTGTGTACATTTGTACATGCATAGATTGATAGTTTTCCTGGCTGTGAGTGACGTTCCCGGTTAGCCGTGAGGTTCACCGTAGTCGGAGCTGCACATCTCTCAGTGCTGCTTCCTTTTGTGTGATGGACATAATGGCTCCACACTCAACACATTGTTCAGGGTTCACAATTTACATAATGCTTTCACCTTGGCATTTCTCTCCTTTTGTATATGTGATACAAAAGATCCTCTTGTAACACTTACAATACACACACCCACGCGCGCACACACACACACACACACACACAGGAAGTGTAAAACAAGTAAAAAGCATAATTTTAAGCCGTGCTTAAAATGCTACTGAGAGACAAATGAAATGTTCTGTTCTGAAGATCCATGATTGACTTTTCCTTTGGAAGACAACCCAGTGGCACACCGTTACACGCGGGTGACACCTGAGTCACCTGAGAAGAGCAAAGAACGTTTAGAGGTCTGCCACCCAAACATCCCACTCACAGCGGGGACAATAAACACACTTACAAAAAAGACAAAAATGCCACAAGGTCGCTTCTTGTCACGGGTCGAATAAGGTGCAGCATGACAGCCCACGCAGTGTCCTCGTCTTTTGACACAATATTACCAGGTTTTAATGATCCTCGTCAGCAGACCTTTTTGGAGAGATTCATCAGTTCTTCATGAAACTGTATTTCCCATTTTCTTCTGGCAAATGTAGATCCTCAATAATAGATAAAAAAGATATGTTGACATTTGAAGTTGTAATGCTTAAGATTTCATTCATTACATTACATTACAGGTCATTTAGCAGACGCTTTTATCCAAAGCGACTTACATTACACTTTAAACCCATGGCTTTTCACATTTTTGCCCGGGGAGCAATTAGGGGTTAGGTGTCTTGCTCAGGGACACTTCGACACGGAACATGGGGCAGCCTGGAATCAAACCACCAACCTTGTGCTTCCCAGCACACCTTCTCTAACCCCTACGCCGGGGTTAGAGAAGGTGTGCAGGAACGGCTTCATTACTGATCGGGAAAGACATTCCTGAGAGACACAAAGGGTCAATGCATGTTGTTTGTTTACCTTTTAAAACAATATTGCCATTAGATGCCCTAATGCTCCTACTTCCCATGGAGCTGCAGCAATATTGAAAAAACAAATATAAATATATATTAAATGATTTGATGATAACGTCATTAGTTGCTTATAAAAGTTCAATTGAAAATCAATTGATAATTTCATTCACTCGACAGGGAGGGAAATAAAACGATACTCTCGAATGCTGCTGCTCTCGCTCTCTTTATGACATTATAAACGGAATATATCTTGGCTTTTTGGTCCAAAGACTATTGACTTACAATTACCAGTCATTCGATATAGCGAAACCACCAACTGCATTCTTGTGTCCCTTCATCAGAAGAGGCAGTTTGGCATTTCTCTACCCGGTATTATCTACGAAAGCGTGCCGGAGAGAAAAGCAGATTTAAGGCAATCATGACTATTCTCCCACTTTGCCTCCACAAGACTTCACTCAGCCAAACTTTTAAGTTCTCCCCGCCGCTCGTGGTGCAGGGCTTCAGCCGGCTTGTGTGAAACCACTTCGGAGCAGAGGGGAATCATAATGAAGGTGACAGAGGAGATCTCATGGGACACCTCGCCTGCAGGCACGCAAAGCAGAGAGATCCGACTTTATAATGCAGTTACATCAATTCCTCGCCTCGTAAAAAAAAAATGGTGCTTCTCGTGTGGCCCGAAGTGCGACGACAGAAATGCAGAACAAAAGCTGATATTTTCCCTGTAAAACAATCAACTGCAATACGTGTGCGTAAAAAGATAATGGGGTTGTTTAATCTAAATGTCACGAGTGTGAAGCGGTCGAAACATAATCAATATTTGCTATACTGGATAATTATGACAAGGCTGGCCAATTAGAATTGTTTCCAATATGGTTCAATCATGATGGTTCTGCTCATGTCGCTCTGTGTCAGGCTGCATGTCGTTCAGACTAAAGTGTTCGAATTGAAAGGAGAAAAAAAAAACCCCACTAAACATAAATCAACGTCAGCGGAGTCGTTAGCCTGCACACCGAAATGCGTTGTATCCGGGGATCTTTTTCACACAGGTGAATTGTACGTATTCAACCGCTGTCTCCTAATTTACGCAGCTCCGAGGGAGGCAAACAAAATGCCACGAGTCATTATGCTGGCAGATAAATGCCACACCTCCCACCATTACTCATACTGGCAGCCGCAAATAGACTGCAGAAGTAATTGAAGTATCGGGTTAAGGCATCTGAATGCTCAATTTGAAATTCAAAGACTTTTTTTTCACACATTTTTTGAATTTGAAAAAAAAAAGAAAAAGAGAAAATCCACAGAAAAGGAATCTGGTGCATCTATTAGCATAATAAAAACATTGTTATGAATCTGTAACAAATACAGCAGGACGGAATGAAAGAACCCTACTGTGATAACACGTGTGTGTATTTACCCCCGGGTGGTACTCACCCCAGCGTTGTCATCGTGACAATAGTGTACCAGAAGGAAGCCGGGATGCTGGTGAACTTGCTGGAGCTGGAGCCCTTCTCTGCGTAGAACATGACGGTGGCGAAGATGATGATGGCCATGGTGAGCGAGAAGAGGAGGAAGCCCAGCTCCGAGGCGCAGCTCTTGAGCGTGTAGCCCAGGATCCGCAGGCCCTGCGAGTGGCGGGAGAACTTGAAGATGCGGAACACCCGAAACACGCGCAGCGTCACGAAGGCGCCGCTGACGTCCTCGTTGTCGGTCATCACCAGGCCGATGTAGTACGGCAGGATGGCCACCACGTCGATGATGCTCATCACCGAGCGCATGAAGCGGTAGCGGCTCGGCGCGGCGAAAAGGCGCATCAGGTACTCCACTGTGAAGATCATGACGCAGGCCGTGTCCATGCAGAAGAACGCCACGGTGTAGCGCTCGCCGCATGGCATGTCCTTCTGGTTGCCGGTGGAACCACAGGGCACCGTCTCCACCACGTTGGTGATGACGGAGATGGCGATGAAGAAACCGGTGACGTAGTAGAAGACCAGCGCCATGGTGGAGGTGTGAGGGTTCTCGAAGGCGCGCCACATGGCCTCCCTGACGCTCATGTTGGGCGGCTTCGTGTCCCTGTTCTCTTCCTGATCGTCCTGAAGCCGCTCTAAATTCTCGCGCTTTCTGTCCTTGTACTCTTCGTAACAGCAGTCGCCGATGATCTCAGGGATGATGCCGAAAAAGATCAACTCCTCGTCGTAGGCGGAGATGCACTGGTTGCGGGGGTAGTGGAGCTTGCCCGTCCGGTAGAAGTTGAGGATGCTTCTGAAGGCCTCGGGGTCCCGATCGAAGAAGTACTCCTTGGTTTCCGCATTGTAAAAGAAGTCTTTTTCAGAGCTGCCCAGCAGGGTGTCAGGGTAGCGGTCCAGAGTGGTTCTCCACGTCTGGAAGCGATGGCCACTGACATTGAGCATTATCAGCTCGTCCTGTCTCTTACTGTGGTCCATCGGCGCAACAGGCATGGGGCTGTTGGCAACAGGCATCCAGCCAATGGCTGCTGCCCTGGCAAAAGGGAGCCACGCTGCTACTCCCGTCGCCATCGTGGAGCCGAGTCTTAAGAGCGGTCCTCTTCACCTTCAGAGCTCCTCAAAATCCACCCCCATCTGAGGGAACAATCGCAACAGAGAGAGGACACATAAAGCTGAAAACAGCTGAACTAGATGATCAACCAAATTATCTCTGTTTGCCATCATGGCACTAAAAGAAGCCGCATGACGCTTTTCTTCTATGGGATTTTTCAGTCCCTCTCCCCTACAGTCCAAATCCACCCTAAAATGTCATCCAGGTTCGAGGACAAAGCTGATACAAGTCATCAACTAAGGCACAAACGCTGCAAAAACCAGACAGGTGGTAAAAGGTGATGCCTTGCCTCTGTTTGGTTCGGTGCTGTTCTGGTTATTACACACTACCTCAACATGACCATCCACAGTCCATTACTTAGGAGCCAGTGTGCTTACACTGTGACTGACACCTGCCTGTTGAATTGAATTTGTGAACCAACAGCATCAGTAAATTGCACAGATGGAATCACCTTTAACTGATTGACATGTAGACAGACTGACTGCCGGGGACAGACAAACACCTGTTGCTATGGAATAAGGAGGCAAATTGACCAAAGTGGCAATATTAGACATTAAAGGAACTAATATCACAGGGTCATTATCAGTAAATGTGCTCATTCCACATGTATAATAACACAAATATTGGCGTAGGCTTAACTGAAAAGTACTTTTTCATGCACACTGACTAACTTCTCCACGCGATGCATTGTCTCACCTTTGAAAGGCACCTGAACACATTCCAAGCGTTGAGTGACTGCAGCAAACGTATAAAGACACTCACCGTTAAAACGCTGCCGGGACAAAATCCCCATTCGTCCAAAAACCAAAATCCGACTTTCCGCAATGACCCGAGTCGTCAAGTCAGCGGGCGAGAGACGCAGAGGCGGGATCCATCCAGCGGGATGATGCGCCTCTCCTCCTCGTCGGTCGGCGGACTCCGGCACCGAGCACAGCGCCACATTAAAAACAAAATGCAGGTCGATGGAGCAGAATGAACCACGCCAGTGTGCTGGACCACAACCCTCAAAAGAAGCGGATTTGTATCGCAATGTGTGTATTTGTTGTTGTTGGGGTTTTTTTTTACATCCTGGCGTCTCTTCGTTGTCAGTGTTTGCAAAGTGAAACGTGATGGAGAGGCGCAGCGCGCTGTCGTGCGTCTCCGCCGCTGCGCCGGCGGTGTGTCGTCAGCCCTCCTTCCCCCTGCCTTACTTTACCGACGTAACGTGACCGACCCGTCGTGTGTCCGCGGACTCTTTCAATACTTTGGTGATGCATTTGCTCACTGAAACGGGCGATGCCGCTTTATTGTAATGGCGGTTATCTGTCATAATGGAGATTAGGTCTCTCGTTGACAGTGATTTACGCACCAAAGGGTCTAAGTATGGTCTAGAATCTTGACCTTGGGCTACAGTTACTTAGAGAAAGGTTATTGTTTAAGAATTGTTGTTAAATTCTTCACCGCCCCAGGAGGGAAATTTGTCTCAACAAGCTGCATTATGTTCATGTGTCGCGTCATGAGGGACCGCGTGACGCACCGGGCTTCCGCCTAATGCCATTAAACTGTGGTGCAAAGTGTGAGAGTTCACACAGATGGCTCTGTCCTGAGGTCTGCAAGGTCAGTTGTAGGAGGACTAATGGGTTTGATGCAAAATAAATACATGACTTTTTTTTTTTTTTAGAGTGGGAGCTCTATTGCAACACTGCAATTAGTGAGCGATTCTGTTTAGTGTGCGTTTCTTTTTATGTAAACAGCCGGCTAAGTCTTATACGGAAGTGGTATTAGTATTAAATGAGAACCAAAAAAATACCGTCCTCCATCACATTCCTCAAACAAGCCTTCATCATCAAACTCCAGCAAAGCAGAGAGCGGTTGTCAAAGGAGGCCCTATAGGGCCTCGTCATCAGAGAGGGAGATGCAACAAACCCCACCGGCTCTCCCTTCTGTCTCCTGCTTCAATCCAAAGCGGCATGGTCTGAACGTAAGGCGCCTCGGGGAACCGCTACGGCTCGATGGGGAGGGTCTTTGAAGGGATGGCCTTGTCTGCGGCCGTTAGAGGAGAGAAAGAGGCAAAGCCAGAGAGAGAGAGAGAGGGGCACAGAGAAAGTGAGACTGTGGGCTCTGGCTGTAAAGACAGATAGGCTATTGGTGAACTCCAGTACATTCACATGTTCGGATGAACATTGGCTAAAATATTCATGAATCGAGTCTTTTAAAAATGTTCAAGTTGAAGGGAATTTCACTCAGAGGGGCTTGCTTTTCCTTCATGCGCTCTTTCAAGCACAAAGAGTCAAAGAATTAAAACATATGTCATATTTGTTTTCCTTCAGCACTGAAGACACTTAGAGAAGGAACCAGATCAGTAAGGAATACAAGTCATACTATAAAGACATCTTTAGTTGCATCATTGCCTTCCCTGCACACGCATGTTGAGAATAAATATATACGGCAGAAAGTACGATGAAATGATTTGGATTTCTTAATGCTCATTGTCTTCAGCATGGGCCCCCTTTTACTCTGTGATGCAATCCTGTTTGTGTTGTGGATCATTTGTCCCCCTCTTGGTCCTTTTCGTGACGTGTCCAAACCTCTGGGGCGGCAGCTGACGTTTACAGAAGAGCACTTACGTGCAATTTTTCACATAAATTTGCATAAGATGGTGAGAGATTTCGGCATATTTGGCAATGCATGCAAAAAGAAAATAAAGAGAAACTATTATGCAAATAACATTGCACACATATAATTATGACAAGCGTTTATGAAATTCCACGTCTTTGGAGGTAATGCTATTTTGTTATCATGGTATTGGGGCATATTTTCTTAAAGTTTAGATGAAATACAAAAAAAACATTTGAGATGGCATTCCATATTTTGCACCAATCTCGCAGTATATCAAGAAATCTCAAAAAAAAAAATCACAAGGTTGCTACTGAACAATTTTGTTTGAAACATGTCCCAATACAGAAGCTAATTTCGCTTTTACTTCAATGGAACTTGATATTCTACCAACGTATTTTCACAGCAACTCGCCAACTCGTTTTGTTCGGACTTGAATTTTTCTTGATAGAATGAAAACAAATAGTTCTATCATACAGCATCCAGATATGCACTGATAAGGCTAAATGTAATCTTTCCCGGGTCGTGGCATTTAGAAATGCAGCTACAATCCATCACGGTGTATCATGTAATTGAATCGTACACTCCAATTGATATCTGTATTTCTCTAATAGTTCATCATCCATTCTCTGTTGACCAGAGCCAAAGTAACAGCTGAGACTTGAAAGTGTTTTTCATTTGGCTGTTCTGCTCTTGGGGTCTCACCATGCCGGGTGGATGAAAGAACCATTTTATGAATTATAGACTTCCACACACAGACCAACTCCACGAGAGAACAAAACCTGATGCAGACTTCATCTGCTGCCGTCGATGGGAGCGCTTTCTCATTTTGACCGAGGCACTTGAATTAGATTAGATCTCTACAATAAGGTTGTGTATTTGGATGTTTGATCATCGTTATGTCAGAAAGACATAATGTCAGGGTTATTTCCATGTTACTCCTCCCATCATTTATGGTTCTCTTATGAACAAAACGTTTTTTTTCCCTCCCTCTGCACTTCAGTTGTGGCACTCAGTACAAAAGGGGAACAACTGCAGTGACTGAAAAGCACAAGGAGATGGTTCAGGAGGGAGAGAGAGAGAGAGAGAGAGAGAGAGAGAGAGAGAGAGAGAGAGAGAGCAGTAATCCACTAATCAAAGGTTGAGCAACTTGATCTGCAGTCTACATGACAAAGTGTCCTTGGGCAAGATTAGGTTTGAATGCTTCTCGCTCTGAGCAGGTAGCACCTATAGCCTCTTCCACCCGGTGTTACAATACGAGACAAAGACTAGAGAAGGGCCATCAACAGTAGATGCATCGACCATTGATTTCCCAAGGACACACATTTTACTATCATCTTCTCTTCTCCTTCCAGGATAAACGTGGAGCGAATGGGCATCGTCGACTTCTGCCGCATGCTACCTTTGCTGTAGCTGTGAACCGCCGTCTTTCAAAATAGTCAGGAAGCCTTTGCATTCCTTCCACAGAATACAGCAATATTAACATGCAATGCCACTTGAGTCAGCATGGTTGTGGCTGATATCTATACAAGACTCATAATAAAATCAGTTTGGGCGTGCAGCTAGAGAGCCCTCGTGTTACCTCCCGGAGGCCAGGGACCGAGTTACATTAGAGAGCAATGCTAAAGTGATGTTGTGCTCTTTTAAGGAATCGAGCGCTCAGAGGAAAACACAAAAACATCCAATAGTTTCCTAATTTATTCTGCATCATCTCACACACAGGAAACAGCTCTCGCTATGCGACCGGCTATGACAAGAAATGCTTTAATATCCTATAATCTTCTCGCTAAGCTCTTTTTAACATCTATCACGAGCAGGAATATTTTAAATATAAATACAGGCTTTATGTCTTTTTTTTTCTGGAGAGAATCCGTCTACAGGCATTATCTATTTCCTATTAATCAGTAACATATGCCTCTGATATTGCAATTCAATATATATATACTGTGGATATTCTATGGAAAAAGGAAGACAGATGAAGAAAATCCAAACAATAGGGGATGGACAAGAAGAGAAAATAAAGGTAACGAGGTTGACACGAGCCACAGGTGCTCTCGGTACAATACAGAGCTTAAACAGCGGGATGAGTAGGCCAACGAGGGAATATGAACAGAAAGGGCTGATAGAAACATGGTGGTGTCTAAATCGAGAATATATCCTAAAAGAGGTAAAAATCCAGCCAGCTCATCAGTCTGACGGGCCAATTTTTCGGATGTGTGTGGACAAATGAGTCCCGATGAGAGCCAGTGGCATTGACTGAGGGGTCACCTCATGATTCACTCAGAGAACACCCCAGGGCTCCTAACCCAAACCCCCCAAAACCCACACCGCAAACAGTGTAACACGCAGGAACTCCGTCCTGTTGCGGCGATGCAGATGAAACGTACGAGCGCGCGGACAAAAGGGAGGGTTGACCGCAGCGTTCACCGGCACACGTCAGAGTGGCGGCTGTGCGAAGCAGCTGCATGCTCGTGGAAGCACTTTGAGAGAAATTATTTTGACTCTGAGAACCTCTTAAGCTGCAGAGCTGCCAAGCAAATAAACAGCACACAAAATCCTGCGTGAAATTAGAGAGAAAACACAGTCAATTCAGTTGGGAGTAGAATGAGAAAACATATACACACACAGCCATAAATGATAAATGGGAAGCTTCATGGCGGAGATTTAAAACTCATTTGTCAACATTAAATGGATCCAGAAAATGCAGGTGTGTCAAACTAACCAATTACACATTAAAGTAGGAATGTCACTGCACTCTGAAAGTATTCTTTCTAAAAGTTGTGTGTTCAAGGCTTCCTTTACATGTTTGCAGGTGCAGTCCATTTTGCTTTTAGATTAACATATGCCTTTAAAGTGCACCGCACCAAACAAAATATGAATGAGTGTCCTGCAACCCATACAAATATATTTAATTGAGTTGCACAGGGCTCTATAATATTTAATCGTATAACTTGAAGGACAAGTTTCAATTTCAATGTGTGAATAGATTGTCAACATGATGATGTGGCTCCGACGTGGTGATTGTATATTATTTTTACATGTGGCCATATCTTGTCCTGTGACAAAAAAAAGAGGAGCTAGAACTGTTCCCATGTTATACTGTTGCCCTTCAGAAAATAGCAACGTTATCATAGTTAAGTGTTTTAATTAAAACGCAAATGAGCGAAGAGAATGATCCGAGGACTCCAAGGCTGATTTATGACAACAATAGATAGTAATAAATTAGACACAGTAATGAATATTTTCAATTATAGAGGACCTGGCTGACAAAATCCTCCACCTCAATGGGTTCAAATGTGACGTAAGTCATCCTGTAACAGCTCATAGGATCTGATGCGGGATCCATCAGTGTTTTCAGTGGGATTTTTGTATGCTTACATTAATTACAGCCGCCCGCCCTTGCAAATGACTGACACCCCCACACACATGAACACAATGCTGTGCTAATAGACAGTGACAGGGGGATGTGTGAGCCCCATTGGGTCCCCGCTGTCTTGACCTAGTTGCTGTATATTGGTTTATATCATCAACAAAGACATCAAAGCATTACACAGATTCATGACAGATCGTCCTGTGGGGAGGCAGACTGAACAAGTACCAGGAAATCAACACCAGCAACATCTAAATGAATGATATCGGGCAGAAACAATGAGTTCATTAACTGGTTGCCTGATTGACTTTCAACACTTCTCATAAGATCTCACATCCTCTCTACACTTGCCTTACACTTTGCATAATAGCACCTTAAAGCGTTTTGGGTTTTTTGTACTCGGGGACTCTTGTGTGATGAACTGCTTATCTGCAGCATCTCAGATATTGCGTCTCTGAGTTGTGTACTGTTAATGGACACAAAAAGAAATGCATGGTAAGCACGTTGCCTTATCCCCATTTCCTTTGGACCAAACTTTGTTTTCACTGATAAATCCCCAAAAGGATTCAGACTGCTTGGTGATTGCAGACCTAATTCTATAGTGTGAAGTCCACTATGTGTACGTACAAAACATTAGATATGATAACGATAAAACGATTATCCACAATTACATACAAACATTCAGTGAACCATCAGGGTTTCAGAATCCGTCATCGGATGTCTGGGATGCTGAAGCTTCAAAATAGAAGTTGTGTGTGTAGAGGGCCCCCAAAAAATGGAGGAACATACAAAAAAAAAAATGAAAGAAACCGTTGCGGCAGGTATTGTGTCCAGACACTGGCAGAGCAGCCACGGGTCAGTGGCCAGACACGCACACCAGGAGATGTGAGGAGCATTGTTTTGATGACATTTAGATGGTATTTTTCCGGGACATGGTTCATTTTGGCTTGAAAGCTACATGCATGCTCAGTACCTGGTGGGCTTTAAAAGTCACAGACACAAGGACATTTTAAACAAGCTACTTTGATGAGGAAGGTATGGTTTTCGGACATGAAACACAAATTGATCTACGTTACTGATTTATTCAATGGACTACACTTAAAAAACTCAGCGATTTACGTGCCGTTATTCTTTGACGGTAGCCAATTCTTTCACATTTAAGTACAAATGCACAAGTGTCTGTCTCTCAAGCACTCTCTCTCTCCCATAAAAAAACCAAACACACGTACACAATGTTCATTCATGCATTCAATCATTGTATTGTTGTCATTTCTCCCAAACACAATTACACAAACAATGCATTCCTCTGTCTCGGTGTATTTCGCCGTCCATCTGACTTTAGGTAATCCTAAAACTGACTTTACGATA